TATGTAATCTTCAAGGGGTTTGAAAATTGTACAAATTAACTGTCTGTTTCACCAAAAAATTTTGAAATGTTCAATACGGAAAGACAGATTGTAGCTGGAGATAACCATAATTATGATCAAAATAAAATGTCAAGATGTACAAGAGCTAAAACCAAGGATGGCACAATACTGCCGTGCCTACCTAATTGAGAATCTAAGTACATTTGCTGTTTAGCACTGGCTACGGAGAAGGAATATCAAACACTGAGCTTGTTGAAATGAGCTTCTTTTCATAGCTCTGCTTCCTTTGATTCATACAGATACAATTGATTGTTTAATCAAACTGCCTCTGCAGCTTTAGCCTTTGCTAGGAATTAGTGATTTGCATGGAAGTTACACACATACTGAAGAAACTAGTGATTTTTCGGCAACTTTCCTGAGATGGAACATATTATGACTTTATTCATAGAACAGTCTGGGTATGACACAAACCCTAAAACATCTGTCTATCTCTCTTATTCAGGATCATTTGCTTTACATCAATCCAATAACTAATGATTTGCCAACAGACAGGTCAGACACTTTAGCTATTTTATTTACATTTTACCATCCAAGAGCAGACATTGACTTTTGCTTCGTTGCTGTTCATTCTCAATAACATTTTGAATGTTATCAACAGTGACTGACACATCACTGAGACTGTGGCTGTCAAAACCCAAGGAGGTTTGAACCTATTTGATGACTGGAAAAAGGGAAATATAACCTCCATTTTCAAGAAGGGGAAAATGGATGACCCACGGAACTACAGACCAGTCAGTCTCACCTCTGTGCCTGGCAAAATCTTGGAGCAGATTCTTCTGGAAGGCATGCTAAGGCACATGAAAAACAACAAGGTGCTTGGTGACAGCCAGCATGGCTTCACTAAGGGGAAATCCTGCCTGACCAATTTGGTGGCCTTCTATGATGGGGCTACAGAACTGATGGACAGGGGTAGAGCAGTTGATGTCATCTACCTGGACCTGTGTAAAGCATTCGACACTGTCCCACATGATATCCTTGTCTCTAAATTGGAGAGACATCAATTTGATAGGTGAACCACTAGGTGGATAAAGACCTGGCTGGCTGGCTGCATGTGAAGAGTTGTGGTCAATGGCTCAATGTCCGGCTGGAGACCAGTAACGAGTGGTGTCCCTCAGGGATCGGTGTTGGGACCGGTCTTGTTCAACATCTTTGTCGCTGACATGGACAGTGGGATTGAGTGTGCCCTCAGTGAGTTTGCCAATGACACCAAGCTGTGTGGTTCAGTTGATACCCTTGGAGGGAAGGAATGCCATCCAGAGGGACCTTGACACCCTTGTGAGGTGGGCTGATGCCAACCTCATGAAGTTTAAACATGACTGCCACTGCTGAACCCAGGACACCATGCCAAGTGCAAAGTCCTACACCTGGGTCAGAGCAATCCCAGGCACAGCTACAGGTTGGGTAGAGAAGAGATTCAGAGCAGCCCTGCAGAGAAGGACTTGGGGGTGTTAGTCAATGAGAAAATAAACATGAGCTGGCTTCAGTGTGCACTCGCAGCCCAGAAAGCCAACCGTATCCTGGGCTGCATCCAAAGGAGCGTGACCAGTAGGTCTAAGGAGGTGATCCTGCCCCTCCACTCTGCTCTTGTGAGAACTCACTTGGAGTATTGTGTGCAGTTCTGGTGCCCTCAACATAAAAAGGACATGGAACTGTTGGAACAAGTCCAGAGGAGGGCCATGAGGATGATCAGGGGACTGGAGCACCTCCTGTATGAAGATAGGCTGAGAAAGTTGGGGCTGTTCAGCCTGGAGAAGAGAAGGCTGCACGGAGACCTCATAGCAGCCTTCCAGTATCTGAAGGGGGCCTATAGGGATGCTGGAGAGGGACTTTTCACTAGGGACTGTAGTGATAGGACAAGGGGTAACGGGTTAAAACTTAAACAGGGGAAGTTTAGATTGGATATAAGGAAGAAATTCTTTGCTGTGAGGTTGGTGAGGCACTGGAATGGGTTGCCCAGGGAAGTTGTGAATGCTCCATCCCTGGCAGTGCTCAAGACCAGGTTGGACAAGGCCTTGGGTGATATGATTTAGTGTGAGGTGTTGGAACTTGATGATCTTAAGGTCCTTTCCAACCCTAACGATTCTATGATTCTATGATTTACATACCTGAGCTCCCAAAGAAAGAAGCCACCACCACAAAAGAAACAACATTTGTACAGCTTCTTTCAAATAGTGCAGGGACTGATAAAGGAGCTTCTCAATTAAACCCAGCTGTCATAAATCACTGTAGTATTTTTAAGTAACAGCAATTCAGCAGGATTTCTTGCCTCTTTTGATCTCTTATATTGTCTTTGCAGAACCACTGTCTGCCTTTCTTGTGGAAGGCTAACCTGAAGTTCCACAGTCCCTGAATTGCTATCTCCTATAATACTCTTATTTATCAGCTTAATTCACTTTTTTTGGATGGATGCTGTCAAGCAAGTGTATAGTAAGGTTTTTTGGTGCTATTTTTTTGAGGGGTGTTTTAATCTCACAGAAAAAGCATGGCAGCTCTGAGAGAGTCCTATTAAAAGTGTATGAGAGAGCTTAATAGGGCCATGTCATGGACAGTAACATAGTATTTGTTACTGTAAGCCAATACTTGTTTTCCCATTACTCAGAAGGGTGACACTGAAAATGTATCCTAGTCATTAACAAAAGCTTAAAATCTGTGTTGACAACAGCGTAAACATGTTAGGCAAGTCTTCTCATATCCAATAACGTTTCAGAGAAGAGACTTAACTTCCCAGCCTTAAAACAGACTTCCTCCCCATTAATGTGGCACAAGCCTGTGCAGTGCTGGATTAGCAAAGTGGAAGTTCCACAGGCAACTGATGGTTGAGCAAACACAATTAAGCACATAAGAGCTGAAACAATTTCAAGTTCATGGACTTAAATTAAGAGAACTAAAGTGGCTGAACTTAGCCACTTTTTTCCCAACACTATGTTGTAAAGCATCCACATATATAGGTACGAATGCCAGCAACCAAAGTCTTGGCAGCCGATGTGGTTTCGTATGGGGCTGGTACAAGCATGTTTGCCACTGACTGTGTGAGCTGTTTCCCCTAGTTTTTATAGCAATGTGTAAGTAATAAGCTGTGGGGTAAACCCTGTGAGGCCTGCAAGTCTTCCTGACCACAAAGGTGCTGTGGATCCACCACAGCTGGGACAGAGCATGAGCTCAAATTTCAGGGCAGGGACATGAAGCTGCAGGGGCCCTTTTCTCCTTGCCATCTCAGCCCTCATCTTGGGATTCAGCTTGTACCACCACTGCCCTTGCAAGCCACTGGCAAGCTGTTTGAGGGGAATAACAAAAACACTGCCAAAAAAACTCTCACAGTGATGGATTTTGTGGTTCCTGATCTCTCTGAGGGAGCCTGCCATGGTCTCGTGGGAAGTACCAGTTGCTGCACAAGCTGGGAGTGGAATAGCAACTGGAGGTGGGCTGTGCAGGTGAGTCTGCCTCTCAGCAACACTAAACAGCTATTCAACAGGCTCAGTTATACCACCAAACCATACAGTAGCCCCTTACTGTCCAATAGTTCTTCCTTGAAAGTTATTCTGATTTTCATAATGGTGTCCATATGCCTTCAGATACCTGAGAGTACACTTTATTGAACCTGCACTATACCTGTTTTCTGAGGATTGATTGTCAGGGTTAAACCTGTTTGAGCTGTGGGTTTAACATTGTTCAATGCTTTCAGGAAAAGACAAAAGTCTGGCCGGTGCTTCTTCAACAAGTCACATCCCCTTCTTCCTGTATTTCAGTATTACAGTACTAAGTAACTGCTTTTTATTACAAGGAAACTTGTGTTTTCTTCTTGCCCTGTAAGAGCTAACTCTGGTTATCAGAGTGAAGTATAAATACTATTATGGTAACTGCAGAGCTACAGAAGCTCTTCATAGCCTCAAACATACCAGATGCCGTTGTCTGTGTGATGCAGAAACAGGCTAGTGGCTTCATTTCTCTGCTGGGGTATGTGGCACAAAACCAAAAATGCAACTTGTCCAAAATTGTGCAGCAATTCTGAGATGGAGAAGGGAGTTAAAGTCATATTCCAGACCATGACTATGTATACAGCAAAAAAACCCAGTAGTTATACTTGTAGTCCTTACAGCAAGGACCTTTCCCTGCTGCATGGGAGCATCTGTGAAGCCTTACAGTACTGTGCGGTACGTGGGCAAAACTTCTGATGATGAACTCACAACTTTTGTGTTATGTATTGAGCTCAAGGGTATATCCTGCCTACTGACATGCCAAACAAACACATAACTGCAAAATGTAGGAAACAAGTCTGATTGCTGGATATAGCCTATGGTGTTCTTAAAAAGTCATGAGATGGAGCTACTAGCAAGTATTTCAAACCTTGTGAACAAATGCCACTAAGACAACACCCACGTGCACCCAAAGTGCAAATCAAAAACATACACCAAATTGTGAAAGCACCAGATCTGCCCTTGAAAAATTCATAGGGAGGATCAGTGCACAACAGAATACATTGCATGAGGGATGTCTGTTTTTCACGTTAGGATGTTTAAAGCACGACTTAAAATGCTGAATCGATGATGGATGGTTTTTTTTTTCCAAAGGGAGAGGGGAAGACACAGTCTTACCATTCTTGTCTGCTCTTCTTAGTATCTAAACAAAAAGAGAGAGAGAACAGAATCACTCTTTTATTTAATGGGTTAATAGCACACAATACAATTTAGTGGGCAACTTTAGTTTGATGTCTACCTTCCCTCAGATCATTGCTTTCCTTAACTCCTCCTGTGCTATGTGCACTGAAAACCAGGACCATAATCAGAACTGGCTTTTATTTTCTAGTTTGTGCATGGCTTATAAGGATGATTATTAGGGTGGTGAGGCACTGGAATAGGCTGCCCAGGGAGGTTGTGAATGCTCCATCCCTGGCAGTGTTCAAGACCAGGCTGGACGAGGCCTTGGGTGATATGATTTAGTGTGAGGTGTCCCTGCCCATGGCAGGGGGGTTGGAACTAGATGATCTTAAGGACCTTTCCAACCCTAATGATTCTATGATTCTATGATTCTGTGATGTTCAGGCACAAAACCTGATACTGTATGGCTACCATGATACTCAATTCAAGGTTGAGAAAAGTGGTTTAAAGAAGCAGAGCAAGGATGAGAGCTGGGAGGATGTGCTGAGCATCTGAGATGGTGAGAAAGACTCAGGGGTTTGTGGGTGGAGGGAACAAAGGTATAAGTCAGGAGAGGAGCTGGATGGCATTAAGGGATCACACTGAGTGTGGGAGGCAGTGAGATCAAATGTGTGGGAGCTGATATGAGGATTTCTCTGATAGCGAGTAGAAACCAGATGCAGAAGCAAGGGGAGAAGGAAAACACGGAGATTTATAAGATGGGAAGGCAAAGGAGCATGAGGGTGCCTGCTGTAGATCCTTCCCTGCAATACTTCTGCCACAGAAACTGTGCATGAGCCCAGCTTACCCTCACGGTGTGCAAGCTACCTTTTCTCCCCACTGTAAATGGCACCTGCTGGAGAAGTCATTTAAGTATGCAGGCAGTCTGCAACCCCTTGTGCAAAGTCTGAGAGGAGGATGCCAAGGGGTGCACCCTGTGAGCAGAGGTTGCAAAGCCTTCCAAGCAGCCCTGCCATTGGTGGCAGGACACAGCAACAACCCACCCAGGGTGGTAGGCACGTGTACTGCCTTGTCTTATGCTGGTGAGACGCTGGCATGCCCGCCAGTCCCTGCTGCAGTCCCACTGTGGGTACCATGACATTAGTCCACACTTAGGAGAAGGGATCAGGCACAGGGAGTGGAACCAACATAGGGGTCTCCTCCAGTTTCTTTGCTCTCCAGATGAGGTAGGTCTTCTGTGGCATGGGTCACCATGTGACACTTCAGATATGTGCAATTGCCATCCACTGTCACTCTGCTGTGCCTCTGGATGTAGAGTCCATCACTACTTCAGCCTGAACTTCAATGGGGAGTTGTCTGGGCAATGCTCCAAGTTTACACAAGGGAAGAAATTGTTGGGGAGCTAACAGAATTGTTACCCATATCCAGGACTTCACTAACGGTCTCTAAGCTGAATTTTGCACTGGAACAAGTTTACAGCACATAAAGTATGAAATTAACTTACTAAGATGCAGCTCAATTTTCAGTATGAAGATTGGACTGTTTAGGGGTTTTAAACTTCTACTCTTAAACTGGAAATTTTATCCTAATGAGAACTAAAGACTAAATGCAGAGCAAATGAAAGATCAGTAAAAGCATTTTTTGAATAAAATAAAACCTGTCTATAATCCTTAACAGGTAAAACACAGTCCCACATTCCTGGCAATTTTGCCTGGATTCTGGGGGGGGGGGGACGGGACTGTTGTTGGTCTTTCTCCTGTCTCATTGGCAAGCAGCCTCCTTTCCTTCTGAGATCTAATAGCTTTCTTCTGCCCAGTTACACTCAATAAAAGGGAACAGCAGGTGCCCCCATGTAAGTGGGAGCACTGAAACCCTCCTCCTTGCCCCACAGGTGCCTGGGCTGAGCTGCCCACAGTGTCTGATGGGAAAGAACAAGGTGTGCTTTAGCAGGGAGATAAATATACCCAGCATGGACCTGAGCAATATTAACAGATGACCAGTGACTTGTGCCATGAGTAGCAAAGGCCCATGTGGAGCCACATGGGTAATACAGCTACACCAGGTGATGCAGCCCACACCCTGTGCAAGACTTCTATGTCACCAAGAGTGCTGGCTGTTCTGGCTTGGCTTATCGGTGGACAGGACTAGGACAGCTGTAGCAGCAGACTTTCAACCAACCACCAACCAGAAGTGCTCCGTAAATATGGGTCAAAGGTGGCAAGGGTTTCTGCAGAAATAATTTTGGGGTTTTATTTTGAAATTAATTTTAATTATTTTTTATGTATTTATCATTATCTTAACTTTTAATTAATTATTTTTCATAATTTGTTTTTTAAAACTTATTTTTTTTTTAATTAAGAAGATGTTAAAATTTTTTGGACACTTGATAGTGATTTTGACACAAAACCAGGGAGGAGATATTCTGACAATGAACAGTTTCCTAACCCAGTGTTCTGAGTTAAACTGAGGAGTTGGCTCAAGCTAGTCCTGGCTAGTTTGGTTTCTCTTCTGTCTTTGTTATGTATGCCTCTAATTCTCCAGTTTCTCTTACAAGTGGTATTTGCATTCAAAAAAGCTTCATTTTCCTTATACAGAGTCTTGAGATACTGGGAGATGAGCAGATGGGAGCTGCTTGAAATAATTTGTGGAAAATGTTGGGGAAGTTAATGTGGGCACATTAGAGAAGCTAGATGAAGGATCCTTTAATACAGTACTTATATTGTGGACTAACCCTGATACAAGAGTTGGTCTTAAGTAGATCTAAGTTGGTAGTAGAGCTGGTCTGAAGATACATAGGTCTCACCAAGGACAGGTGAGATGCAGAGGATACCCTGGAATCTTGGGTGGGAGTTTGCCTTTTATCAGGACTTGCCTCAGAGCAAAGAAATGCTCTGAGCTGGGCATATTTAGACCAAAACTTCACAGCTGCATCTTGTGAGACACCCAGCCCTTGGTCATGGTCTAGCCCAGCACCCCTGAGGGGTAGGATGGCACCTTGCTGGGCTACCCCTCAAACAGCTGAGGGGCTTAGAGGCACATCAACTCTGGGCACCTCGAATCCATCCAGGTCTAATGGGATGGGAGGGAACCTGCACAGTTTGGGAAAAACACCTGCAGCGTGAGCAATGCTTCAGTGAAGAGCCCAGAGAAAAAATAAAATAACAGAAATCCAAGCAATGTATTCTGAAATGTGACGGTGTTTTCACTCAGCACCTCTCCTAACTGCTCCCAAGTGCTAATGGGCTCTCCTCCCACATGCATGCCACCAGAGGAAGCAAACTCATTCCCCTCATAATCATTTTAAATGCTAAAAACATTAAAAAGGGAAGGAGAAAGAGGAAAAGAGAAAGGGAAAAGGAGAAAAGGGGAAAGGGAAAAAGGAAAGGGGAGGAAAGGGGGGAAAAGGGGAAGGGAAAAGACAAGGGAAATGGAAAAGGGGAAGGGAAAAGGGGAAGGGAAAAGGAAAGGGGAAGGGAAAGGGGAAAAGGGAAAAGGAAAAGGGAAAGCAAAAAAAAAAAAGGAAGGGGAAGGAAAAGAGGAAAGCAAATGAGAATAAAAGGAAGGGGAAAGGGAAGAGGAAAAGGAAAGGGGAAGGGGAAAGAGAAAGAGAGAGGGAAGGGGAAAGGGAAAGAAAAAGGAAAGGAGAAAAGAAAGGGAAAGCTAAAGACCCACTGCTCGGCTGTGTTTCGCTCCCTCCCACCCCAGGGAGGAAAGGAGGGGGGAAAAAAAGCAAACCATAAAAAAATACGACACACACGACACGCACCCCCCAACTGCTGGAAGGAGGAGTTCATGTGAGGGATGCCGCGTACTCACATCGCGGAAGATGCGCAGCCCCGCTCCCGGCTCCGCCGCCATCCGTCCGCCGCCACCGTCGCCGCCCCCCGGTCGGGCCGGTGGCTTTGGCAGGGCCGAGCCGCACGCCCCGCCTCGCCTGTCGCTGGAAAAGCACCCAAAACAGGCTGGGGAGGGACCGCTGCTGCTCCCGCTCCCCGCGGGGAGACGGGGAAGGGTTTGTGCTGTTCTACTGCGCAGGCATCTTGTTGCGCCTTTGAAGTGGGCTCGTGGAGAGACTTGCGCTCTCTCCATGGCAGACACTGGGTTCTTGCAGCCTGCCTTTGTCAGGCCAAGTTTTCATCGTCACTTTGGCTGCTTTCCCCTTGAGTACACTCACTTGGGGTGGATCTTTCTTGAACAGCAAGACTGGCCATGCTTTGAGGTCTCCGTAGTGAGGAGAGGTGATGGGGTGAAACGGGACTTCACATGGCTGATGGAGACATTATGATCAGCTGCACTCTACAAAAGCCCTTGGGCTTGAAAATACAGTCCTTGAATATAATAAAGGTGCCTGGTCAAAAATCAGGGGCTGGGAGGACCTGGGAGTGCTTGTGTTTTTGGGGATGGAGCGAATGGGGAGCTGTGAGATGGGGCAGGAGCAGGCTCTGCAGGGTGAATGCAGGGGAGGAGGAGGATGTTGGGGTGAGGGAGAAAGCAGTCCTGAGGGAAACTTCTGTTTGTGTTATTTCAGACATATGCCAGGAGGCTATTACATGGACATCACATAATGGGGGCTTTGTCTTTGTTCTCCTACTGTGCACCACTGGCAATGATACATTATTCATTACTGTATTGTTATATATGATACATTATATCATCATATATTACTATAGATTATATAAAACATAAAAATCGTTAGAGTGAAGTTTCTGCTTTAAAACACCTTCATGTCACCTTCATGTATGAAAAGCCTCAGCTGTGGCATAGCTTACTGTGCATGAGTGTTACTGATTCTTTAACCTCCCTTCCTATGTTACAAAAGAAAACCTGAGAGAGGAGACAGAACTGTCCAAAAGGAAAGATGAGGAATTTCAGAGGGTGAGAATTTTTTATCTAACATCTTAAAGATGGCTCGAAAAAGAAATGGAAAATAATCTCAGGCTATTTTTGCTTTTTAATAATACTGAAAGGCTTTTATTTAATCTGATTCTTAGGATGGAAGTATGGGAATGTATTTCTTTACAGAGAGAGAAAAGAAGAAAAATTCCAAAGTCATCTCAAGAGCCAGGAGGATGAGTGGAGATAAGGAAAAGCTTCTTTAGACTGTAGAGGGGCTTGGTTTATAATTAACTGTTATAATAAAACCTTACATATTTAACTTTATTGACTAATTACTGCCTTGGAATGAAAAGACTTTGGTTGAAGAACCAGTATCTTTCCCCTTCGATTAGTCTTAACATTCACTGTGATTATTATGCCTAGAGAAATCTTCCTGAAAAACAATTAAAAAAAAAAAATAAAATAAAGGGCAATCCAGATATTTTCAGGGAAAAATTAAAGCATAAGAAGCAAAAATAACTCACAGGCCTTTTATTATACTACGAAGCATTATTTCCGTTATTAAGAAAACTAATTTGCAAATCACCTTTGTGTGAT